AGCAGCAGCAGCAATTTCCTTTATCAGCAACTTCAACTCTAGCACCAGCTTCAGCAGTGTCAACAGGCCAGTGCAGCACGGCGGCAGTGTCCATTAGTGGCCATCTGAACAGCAGCAGCAGCAGTTCCCGGCCAAAGCTCACCTGTCTTTCTTTTTCTCACACTCACACTGATAGCTGTGATCACCACAGCTACCACCACTAGCAAAACAATTAACCCCGAAAAAGCAACAGTCGTTAGTGGTCACAATCAGCTCCCGAAAGCACCACACTTTGCCACTTGCCCCATTCAGCAGCAGCAGTATTCCTCCAGGTCGTCCAGGACCACCACACTGACACACATCACGCTCACCAAGTTCTGCTCAGAATCTTCTCTTCTCTTCTTCGTTTCCAGTCAGTCTCTTCGTCTCAACCTTCTCTTTCAAGCTCAGTCTCAGCCGACTCTAAAACTGGACGACGAATCGTGGGCTCGCTGTTTCAATGATACCCACACACTTACCTGTCTCTGTATGCCCCATCTCGCGACCAAGTCGCCCACCCTTGCAGTAACCATTAACCCGACATATTCCAGCTGCTTCAGCACACACACACCTTAGTACCACTATGAAATAGTGGTCTAACCAGTCTCTCCACAAATTTCGACAATCCNCTCTTCTCTTCTTCGTTTCCAGTCAGTCTCTTCGTCTCAACCTTCTCTTTCAAGCTCAGTCTCAGCCGACTCTAAAACTGGACGACGAATCGTGGGCTCGCTGTTTCAATGATACCCACACACTTACCTGTCTCTGTATGCCCCATCTCGCGACCAAGTCGCCCACCCTTGCAGTAACCATTAACCCGACATATTCCAGCTGCTTCAGCACACACACACCTTAGTACCACTATGAAATAGTGGTCTAACCAGTCTCTCCACAAATTTCGACAATCCCCAAACTCTCAGTGGCCCATCGACCACCATAATCTCCCTGCTCTTTCCTTCCTTCAGTGATAGATGTCAACTTCTTCTTTTTCTTCGTATTCGTCTCTTCAATTTTCGATTGAGTCTACTCTATACCAGTGATAATACTAATCCACAAACTCTCTCATTTCAACGTCCCCGTGACTTTAATTCTCTCGTGTGAATCCGACTTTTCGTTCACGAATCAACCAGTGTGCACTACTACTACTACTACTGTCACCCGAATCCCAGCAAACCAGTGATACCACATTTACTCAACCAGCATTTTTCACATACACCAATTGCAGAAACAGCAGCAGCAGCAGCAGCCAAAGCTCTGCTCATTTTTGCCCGGCTCCACATTTTGTTTCTGCTCACAGTTGCACAACGAAAGAGCGACACGAAATTCTATTTCTTTCTCTCTCTCTCTCTCTCCTTCTTCTCCTTTGCGCCCGATCGTGCGACTGCACATGAAACGAAAACTTTTCTTTTCAACGACGACGACAATTTTGGCAAAAGTAAGCAAGCAATCAAGTAAGCACACACACACACATTACCCACATACAGCCACTCTAAGCGGCTCTAAGCTCGAAACCGATAAGTGAGACAAAATAAAAAGTATACACCGAAGCAATCTTTTCTTTTGTTTGTCTGCTTTGCCTGGCAAACAAGCAAACACTACCTGCTAGAAGACCACTTGGTGGTCTTGCGGGTTGAAGTCAGATTTAGCTTCTGGTCCACACACAGCCGCAAAGCAGCAATTGAAATTTCCTTCAGATAATGATGTGTACGAAAAAGTTTTGAATGTGATATTACCTGCTCTCTCTCTCCTACTACTCTTCGAAAGATTCCCGTGATACCCACAGTGTACAGTTTTGAACTGTACAGCAGTGAAAAGGCTACAAGCAACAGATCAGATCAGATCAAATCAACAAGCACAAGAACCGTACCGGCGACTCAATCAACTTTATCAAATTCTCTCCCTTAGCTAAAAGCTGCACACAACACAAAACAACAGTCTTCAACTCCATTTCATTTCATTTCATTTTCCCTCTACAATCAACACTTCACTACTCCCCAATTTTCATATTTCACCACTACTCGTGCCACCACCACTACTTTACTAACCTTTTGTGTGTGCGTGACGTGTTGATCACCACCACCACCACTGACACTCAAATTAGTTCCTCAGTGTGGTGAGAGTCCCACTCCCAATGCAAAGCACCGAGGTGGGCAGTGTCCCTTCATCACCGGCCCTTTCCTCTTCCGCCTCCACTTCCTCTTCACCCCTGCCACCACCACCACCACCGCCCACTTCCTCTTCCTCCCCGGTAGATCACCATCAGCAACAGCGAACATCGAACATCATCAAAAGCGACGAACTCCTTTCCTCTTCCTCCTCTTTTTGGTCGGGAGGTGCTCGCCAGAGCAGCAGCAGCAGCAGCAGCACCGCCTTTGGCAGTGGCACCCTCATCGGGGACCTAGTTTACCCGAACAGTGGTGGTCGAGGAATTACCAGTAAGTCCCAGTCGAATCAGTCGAGCAGCAGTCCCGCAGTGAGCAGCCTCGTCTCGCAGTACCTTCAGGGGAAGATGACCAACAGTGGCCAGCGAGCTGCAGCAAGCACAGCCTCCAGTACCTCTAGTGCCAGCGCCGCCGCCTCTTCCGCAGCCAATAGAGAATCTTCTGCTGCAGCAGCAGCCTCCTCATCCTCATCTTCCTCGACGAACCAGAGATCACCCTCCACTCCTCGAAACCTCTCCAATCTTGGGTCACCTCCTGATCCACAACAGCAGCAGCAACAACAACAATACCCGCTAAGTCCACTGATTCAGCAGCAGCAACAGCGACAGCAGCAGTCAGGCAGTGAATCTCCGGTGGACTTGCACCTCTACCAATTTGCCCTTGGCCAATCCTCAACCTCCAAAAACTCCTCTATTTGCATTCACCGCAACTTCTACGAAAAGTGCGCCACCTGTCAGAGCGCCAGTGGCAGTGGCAACACCTCATACTCAAATCTCCTTCGAAACTCAATCAAGCTCAGTCCGCCGTCGTCGCAGCTTTCTGAGGCTCTTCAAAGAGGAGGTGACGGCAGCGACAGTCCTTACCAATACCAACAACACCAACAGAATCAGCAAAATCAACAGAATCAACAACAACTTCAACTTCAGCAACACTTTGGCATTTCCCTAGCCTCTCAGCAGCAGCAACAGCAGCAACATCACCAGCAACAGTTACAACAACAGCAGCAGCAGCAGCTAACCTCCGCCATGAACTCCCTCAACTCGGAGGCCCTCCTCGGGGGCGTGCACGAGAGCGCTGCGAAGCACCTGTTTAGCCAGGCGGCGGCCGCAGCCAACGCCGGTCAGCTGGTGGCGGTGGGCGGGCACTTGAGTGGCCTCAGCACCAGCATCGCCGCCGGTCTCTCCGCCCACAGCGCCGCCGCCGGGGGGCTGATGTCGGCGGGCGCCCACCTGCTGCACTCGTCTGCGCATGCGGCGGCCCAGGCGCAGGCCCAGCATCACCACCAGTCTGGAGGAGGAGGAGGAGGAGGTGGACATGGCCAGTCACCCCACCACGCCCATCTTCAGGTGTCGATGGGCGTCAGTGTCTCCAGTCCGCATAGCTTCCTCCACAATGCCCACCTGGCCATGACTGGTGGTGGAGGTGGCGGTGGAGGAGGAGGTGGAGGTGGTGGTCTGGGCGGAGGTTTGGCCCATCACCACCACCATCACCATCACCCGCAGCATCACCACCGACGACTGTCGAGCAGCACCTCGGGCAGTAGTCGAATCAGTAAAAGTGGCGGAGGTGGGGGCGGTGGCTCCAGCACGAAGCAGTTTCTCTGTCCGATGTGCAATAAGCTCTTTACGCAGAAAGGTAGGAAGAGAACAAGAAACTGATAATGTTTTCTGACTATTTTAACCTTTTGTGCTTTTCTGCTTTGTGCAGGAAATCTCAAGACTCACATGATGATCCACACCGGCGACAAGCCCTACGTTTGCCATGTAAGGAGCATATAATTCATTTTTCAGCCGTGTTGTGCTATTGATCAACTGACTCTCATTATCATTCATCTTTCTCGCTCTCTCTCTCTCTCTCTCTCATTTTTGTAGGTCTGCGGAAAGAGCTTCACCCAGAAGGGCAACGTGGACACGCACATAAAGATTCACACCGGCGTCAAGGACTACAACTGTGAGAGCTGCGGCAAGACCTTCACTCAGGTAAGGAGGAATAGTAATTAGACACATTCTGTCAGACAGACTGAGGACCAGGGCGCACTAAATCACTGCTGTTTTGATTTAATTTTGCTGCCTTTACTTTTTCTCTTTTTTACTTTTCAAACCAAACACAGAAGGGCAATTTGAAGACACACGTCCGCTCGGTTCACACAAAGGAAAAGCCGTATGCGTGCTCCGTCTGCGGCAAAAGCTTCTCGCAGGTAAGTGCTGGTGAAGCAAAAGGGAGAGAGAGAGAGAGAGAATTGGGAGTACAAAAAATAAAAAATGAAACAATCGAGACATAGAAGAATGGCTTTTGTGATTCTGTTTACCGGCGGCAGCGGCGCCGGTTCGGTTTGCTGTTTCCTGTAACAAAAAGAGTCGATTTTAATTGCTAAAAACCAGTGTGAAAAAAGAAAGGAAGCCACCACTGCCGGTACACTGTCAGCGGCAGTGGTGAAAAATGAAAAATGGTCCAATGTTGCAGTGAAAAGAAAGTAGAACCACTAGTAGTACTAACCACAGAGTACTAATGTGCGCTTGACAATTTTTTTCCCCAATCACAGAAAGGAAACATGCACACTCACATTCGCACTCACAACAAGGACGACCGCTTTCCCTGTGGCCTCTGCGGCAAGACCTTCTCTCAGGTAAGTTGAGAAACACTGTTCTTCTTCTACAGTAGAACTTCTAAAACACAGACACCTTCCAAACTCCCAAAACTCTCCCTCTTTCTTTTGACCCCCTAACAGAAAGGCAACCTGAAGACTNTGGTGAAAAATGAAAAATGGTCCAATGTTGCAGTGAAAAGAAAGTAGAACCACTAGTAGTACTAACCACAGAGTACTAATGTGCGCTTGGCAATTTTTTTTCCCAACCCCAGAAAGGAAACATGCACACTCACATTCGCACTCACAACAAGGACGACCGCTTTCCCTGTGGCCTCTGCGGCAAGACCTTCTCTCAGGTAAGTTGAGAAACACTGTTCTTCTTCCTGTAGAACTTCTAAAACACATCTACCTTCCAAACTCTCTTTTCACGCCTAACAGAAAGGCAACCTGAAGACTCACATGCAGCGACACGCCGGCACGCTGCCCAAGCGCTACGGCCCCGGCGGCCAGCGCCGACAGACGAACAGCAGGCTGCTGCAGGTCCCCGGGCTGCAGGTGGCACTCGCCGGAAGTGGTGGGGGCGGAGGAGGAGGCGGAAACACCGGTCCCTCCACCTCATCCTCTTCCGGCGGCCACCTGCCATCTGAGGCAGCGGCGGCGGCGGCAGCCGCCTACGCCGTGGCAGCCTCTCGAAACGCCCACCAACAGCAGCAGCAGCAGCAGCAGCTGGCGAACCTGAATCGAATGACGCCCCTTTCCCCTGATGGAGGGACTACCACCGGCGGAGAGGAAAGTCCCTCGCCTTCCTCCTCCTCGATGGTGGTCGTCCACAATGGTGGCCGATCGCAACAACAACAGCAGCAGCAGCAGCAGCAGCAGCAACAGCAGTCGGCGATCGCCAACGGTACGTCCAAAGATTTTTTATTCGNCAGCTGGCGAACCTGAATCGAATGACGCCCCTTTCCCCTGATGGAGGGACGACCACCGGCGGAGAGGAAAGTCCCTCGCCTTCCTCCTCCTCGATGGTGGTCGTCCACAATGGCGGCCGATCACAACAACAGCAGCAGCAGCAGCAGCAGCAGTCGGCGATCGCCAACGGTACGTCCAAAGATTTTTTATTCGTTTTTTTTCATCTTGGCATACTAATACAACATTTTCATCTTTCTCTACTGCTAATTCCTCTTGCTCTTTCCTCAGTTCAGAACCAGCAGTCATCGCGCGAGTCGACGCAAACTCCCTCGCAGTACTGCCGCGCTTCTTCTGAGTCAGCTTCAGCTGCCGCCGTCGCCGCTGNACAGCAGCAGCAGCAGCAGCAGCAGTCGGCGATCGCCAACGGTACGTCCAAAGATTTTTTATTCGTTTTTTTTCATCTTGGCATACTAATACAACATTTTCATCTTTCTCTACTGCTAATTCCTCTTGCTCTTTCCTCAGTTCAGAACCAGCAGTCATCGCGCGAGTCGACGCAAACTCCCTCGCAGTACTGCCGCGCTTCTTCTGAGTCAGCTTCAGCTGCCGCCGTCGCCGCTGCCGCCGCTTCAGCTCGAGCCCTGGGCAGCTTCTCACCAGGACATAACTTTTCTTCAAATGGGCCAAATGGTAATCAGCAGCAGCAGCAGGGGTCCCACCTTCACCACAACCAAAATCAGCAGCATCAGCAGAACCAGAATCACCACCACCACCATCATCAGCAGCAGCTGTACAGTCAGTCTTCGGCTGCGGCCGCCGCCGCGGCCGTGCTCCTCTCCTCGACGGGCAGCTTCGTCTCCAAGGACGCCGCCTCAAAGGCGAGCCACCTGCACTTTATGTCCAGTCTCTTTCACTAAAAAAGTGGACAGTGATGAGGAAAAATCAGACGTCATCGGCTGCTGCTGCTGAATTCCCTGAATTTCCCCTCTCCCTCTCTCAATTCTCTCGAGTTCTCAAAGGCGCGCGCCGAAGTTCCCCGAAGCTACCACTCGATTCCAGTCAACAAGCACCACCACCATCTTCATGCATTCTTCAATTCTCTAAATCTTCTCTCTTTCACTCATTCTCCTCTCTCCTCTCTCTCTCTCTCTCTCCTCTTTCTCTGCCCACTCGATCGCTTGGCCGCCGCAACCAGCCCGATCTCAAACACACTCACCACAAGAATATACACACA